AATCTTGTACAAGAACTACAGCAAAAACCAGTTTGATGCATATTTTATCAGTATTTTAGAAATTGAATTTGAATATTACCAGTACTGACTTCAATGGATTTCATTAAATTCCTTTGAACACGACTGCTCAAAACGGTCTAAATTTCTAAATTTAACACATTCAAAACATTACTCTGAAATGTTTAATGTAAATGTTAAGTGTAAGTGAAATGTTAAGTAGTGTAGTAGTGTAAATGACACTACATATTCTGGGGTGTGAATTTGATAGGTGCATCACGCGCACTCTGTGTAAAGGGAGCACATCTTATCAACATGCCTAATAATTATGCACGCACTGTATTCTGATCATATTTTTTCCAAGCACATTTGACCAATTCCAAACCACATCAATCTAAATAACTACTATTATTTTTGTATTTAATTATTTAGAAGTGATATATAATTGTCCATGAAGGCTGGAAATGAAAAACTCCTTATTAAGGTGTGCAGAATTACTAGGCAGGTTTTCTTTTACGGATGAAATGAGCCAAAAAAGAGATTTAACTCAGACTGAGAAGTCAAAAATGATTAAATCCCAGTGAGAAATATGAAAAACTAATGCAATACAGAAATGTCAAAGTTAAGGCATGACCATTGGTCAGCAAACTGCTCATTGGGTCAGCGGGGTCAGAAAAAAACAGGTGGAGAAGAAAAGACGCATGTTAACTGCAAAATAATTCATAATTAATGTGAAGAATTAAGTGTGAAACCACCAGGAACCTTGTAGTCTCCAGTGCCACTATTTTCCAGAACTGCAACCTTGAGTCTCCAGAATTACAAGGTGTCAGGTTCTCAGAGACTTTGCTTGGGTAAAAAATCCTTAAAAATGACCCCTACTTAATAAAAATATCATGCTGAAGTGTCGTGACTATTTTTATAGGCTTAATGGACAGATCAGTTGAGAGTGACTCTTGAAGGACCAGCACCACATCCTCTTGTACCGCTGTTTGAAGAATTGATCTTCCAGAATCTGGCCGTAAGTTTTAGGAGCTCATTTTGCAGGATAGGAGATGGACTAAAAATGAACTCCCAAAACTTACTGCAACATGGCGCTAAGGAGAAAAATGTAGAACTTGAAAAATGGGAAAAACAGCTTAGTGAAAAGCGTTTACAGTTTAAAAGCAAATAGAAAGTCCTATTTTTTTTACATTTCTTTTCTTTATATTTTTTTTTGCAAATTTGCACATGTAGAAGGTTTAAAATGTTCATGAAATATTTTCAAAAATATTGACGTTTTGAGCAGCTGCATTCCTCTAGGTTAAAGATGAAAAAATGGGATTTACAATAAAAAGTAATTTACAAAATTATTTTGACTTGAGTTTATCAATGAGTAATGTCTCTTTTGAGTGAATGTGCAAATTTTTTTATGTTAAGAGGTTTTACCATGTTATTACAACATTTAACCACTTTTTATTAATTTAAAAATTTAGAAATTCTTTTAAATTTAAATCTTGTACAAGAACTACAGCAAAAACCAGTTTGATGCATATTTGATCAATATTTTAGAAATTGAATTTGAATATTACCAGTACTGACTTCAATGGATTTCATTAAATTCCTTTGAACACCACATTTTTACAAGGTTTAAAATGTTCATGAAATATTTTCAAAAATATTGACGTTTTGAGCAGCTGCATTCCTCTAGGTTAAAGATGAAAAAATGGGATTTACAATAAAAAGTAATTTACAAAATTATTTTGACTTGAGTTTATCAATGAGTAATGTCTCTTTTGAGTGAATGTGCAAATTTTTTTATGTTAAGAGGTTTTACCATGTTATTACAACATTTAACCACTTTTTATTAATTTAAAAATTTAGAAATTCTTTTAAATTTAAATCTTGTACAAGAACTACAGCAAAAACCAGTTTGATGCATATTTGATCAATATTTTAGAAATTGAATTTGAATATTACCAGTACTGACTTCAATGGATTTCATTAAATTCCTTTGAACACGACTGCTCAAAACGGTCTAAATTTATGAAACCTACACATTCAAAACATTACTCTGAAATGTTTAATGTAAATGTTAAGTGTAAGTGAAATGTTAAGTAGTGTAAGTTCTTTCACGACACTACGTATGCTGGGGTGTGAATTTGATAGGTGCTTGATATAAAATAAATGGTGCTTTAAAAAGTCCTTGAAAGTCTTTGAATCTGGTGTTCATGAAAGAGTGGGAACCCTGTTATAAATTGCAAAAAAAAATATATATATATATATGCAAAAACAATATAACAGTAGACTGATATAATGAAAACATTAAATAATCATTGAAAACATTTCAAATGTACGGTCTATAATCAGTGACAGTGTGCAGGGTATTCTGTATGTTCAGTGAAGCAGATTTCTGAGTATTTCTCTGCTGCTTTGTGCATGAGAGATCAGGATCACAATTTCAGAAATTAATCAAAGATATGTAGAGGTAATTGTGCTCTTACTGGCACTGATTACATGAGAGCATTATGATTATGGGTGGATTTCCACTCCAGAACGACACAAAACTGCTCTGGGCTGTGAAGATCGGAACAGAAGTCTTGTGAAATCCTGCTGGGCCTGATGGACTGGAGAATCATCGGTCTATGAGTGTGTTTCTGTGAGGCTTCTCTGTAGAGTCAGTGTTTTGTGTGTGGTGGGCTCCTCAGGTGGAGAAGAAGAGCCAGACGACGATGCTGACGGCTGCGCTCCTGCTGTCGGGGATCCCTGCTGAAGTCATCAGCCGCTCCATGGACACCTACAGGAAGATGAGCGACGTCTTCTCCGACCTCTGCGTCTACTTCTTCAGCTTCATCACGTGTCACGAGCTGCTGCTGCTCTTCGGCTGCGACGCGTCCTGAGGATCCAACGCTGCTTCTTCTGTTACCTATCAGGCCATGAGACTGCGCAGCTCCTGCATCTCAGCCGACATACTGTTCCTCATTTAAACGTCCTCCTCCAGTCTTATTTCATGTAGTGTTCATCAGTTATCATGTTCATGTTGACCGCTGTGAAACTAGTGAAGGTCTGAGCAGAGAACCCTGATGCTCTAATATCAGGCGAAACTCATGTCTGCATCGTATTTCACGCCAAAATACAAAGAAAACCAAACCTGTTTTTTGGACCATTAAAGAATAATTCAGCTGAAAGTGTACATTAGCTGAAAACGTGTTCACCGTCAGACCATTCAAGATTAGGATGAGTTTGTTTCTTCATCAGGTTTGTAGAAATGTGGAAATATTTTCCATTGACTTCCATAGCAGGAAAAGAAATACTATGGAAGTCAATGGGTACCATCAACTGCTTGATTACTAGCATTATTCAAAATATCTTCTTTTGTGTTCAACATCATAAACTCATACAGGTTTGGAATGACATGAGGATGAGTAAATTATGCCAATGATCACCATTTTTGGGGGAACTATCCATCAGTGTCTCAGCAATGGATGCTCTGCAGTGAATGGGTGCCGTCAGAATGAGAGTCCAAACAGCGGATAAAAACATCACAATAATCCACAAGTAATCCACAGCACTCCAGTCCATCAGTTAACATCTACTCTCATTCAAAGCTGAAACAAATCCAGCATTAAGACATTTTTAACTCAAACACGAGTCCATAATTCATAATAACGCTTCCTCCAGTGAACAAGTGTTCTGGTCTGAATCAGGAGAGAAAACTGCACAGATCAAGCAGCGTTTACAAGCCAAAACCCAAAAGCAAAACCCCTAAACAAAAATAAAAAAAGCATCTTGATTGATTACTTGTGGATTATTGTGATGTTTTTATCAGCTGTTTGGACTCTCATTCTGATGGCACCCATTCACTACAGAGCATCCATTGCTGAGACACTGATGCAGTGCTACATTTCTCCAAACCTGATGAAGAAACACACTCATCCTAATCTTGGATGAACTGAGGGTGAGCACATTTTCATTTTTATCTGAATTATTCCTTTCGGTTGTTTCCCATCATGACATGATCCAGTTCACCCTCATCCATCTTCTCATTTCTGAAATGAATCTCAACAGCTCCTATTCTTATTTCTTTAATGTTGGAGTGGAATATGATGCAGGTTTCATGAGCTTTGCTCTTTTGTTGTTTGTCCAGCCGTGACTCAACAAAACCAGCCTAATCTTACTAGATTTGTTAATGAAGTCTTGAGCTGATCACTAAGGGGACACCAGGTTCTCTTCTGTTTCTATCACACTTTCCTTGCTGTGTTTCTGATCGGCTCTGCAGTCGTTCTTCATCGTGAGCTGATGTTGTGAGTGTTTTTGTTTAGCGCTGCTCTTGTATTTAGAGACGTTAGTGTTATAGAGCTGCTCAAACTTGAGTTTACCAGACATTATTCATGCTGATCTGTGATCTATTGATTTCTGTTTAATTTAATGTAAATGCTGTTATGTTCTGCCGTTTTGGACGGAGATGAACTTTATGGTTTGTAAGTGATCAGAATCGTAAGTTGTTTCTGATCATGTTTACATTATGCTGTGACACTGAGATCTAATGTATGACAGTGTTTTTGTTTTTCTCAGTAATGTGAGATGAGGTAAGAACTTGAATGATTGTAATAATATATTTGATTACGTACTGGTCGGAGGGAGAAGCTACTGCTAAAACAATAAAAACATCAGCGTGTCCTTCTGACTGATTCATGTGTCTGCCAAAATCCACAGAAGCGGAGAGACTTCGGGTCTAATGTTCGGTTTGCGCTCTTTTATTTATTACCTTTTTTCACGTATTTTAGTAATCATCCTAAATTAGACATCATTCAAAAGTTTAAACACTGAAAACACTTGAAACGTGACACCATGGAAGTCCTGCTGTAAATACTTTTATCAGGCTCCTCCCCCTAGTGGGTGGGTTCAAGTGTCATTAAAAAAGTTACCTCAATGTTTTATCAAAACTTTTACTAATCTCGACAAAACACACATCTGTTAGAAAGGTCTGTGAGTCTCAATATTCAATATTTGCTGGTTTATTTTGTGATTGAAGTAATATTGTGACCGAAATGTGTACATTTGTGACAGGAAAATGCATTTAAAAAATTTCAATGGAGTTTGGATGACATCTGGTGGCTATTTTTGAGATAGCGGCTAAATAAAATCTCACAGGAACCTCAGTTTTTGTGATATCAACTTCAAATTTGGGACATAGCTCAGTTGTACATATGGCTTTGAGTACATAGCAAATACTGATTCCAAACTATTTTGTAAAATGTTTATTTTATATGAAATAAACCATTTTAAGTATAGTAAAAATCCTTAGACCTCTTTAAAAAGAGACCATCCAAAGTGTTAATAGGGCCTTTCGCACCGCAGGAACCTTTTCATAGTACCAGAACTAATTGTGGAACTACCCACTTTTCGGCGTGTTCGCACCGCCGGAACTGGGAGCGATTTTAGTACCGGACTGCCTTTTTCGAGAACCAAATTAGCTCCTACTCCGGAGCAGGGTCTAACCAGCACAACTGGTACTAATCGTGACGTAAGTAGATATTGATTGGCCAAACGCGTATGAAAATGCCCTCACCCGCCATGATTTAAAACGCTGTGTAAACATACTGTAAACATTGTGTCTACTTATTTCTCAAGTATGGAGAACAGCGATAGATGGACGGACGCTGAAGCGCAGGCACTTTTAGCAAATGTAGCACGGCCAGTTGTCGTTGGAGATTCTTAGTCCTCCTTTCCGTTCTTTCAATCGCTTTACGTATAAGTCGACTTTCCATGTCCATTATTGTGAAACCCGCGAGACACAACAAAAACCGCTCCGATCACAGCGTCCTCCATCCTCCTGTTGTTAATGTTGTTTTTCTTTGTTTTCGTTGTTGAATGCCACGCACAAATGACGTCGCTGTAGACCAGTTCCTAGTACACACTGTCGGTGCGAATGCAACCCTTTAAATGGTACTGGGAAATAGTTTGCGCAAAATTGTCCCAGTACTTAAGTACCGTACATTTAGTTCTGGAACTAAAGCGGTGCGAAAGGGCCTAATGAATCCCATCCATTTAAGTTCAGATTTGTATTTCATGTCAGTGTTCAGTTGAGAGGTTAAGAATATCTGTGAATCTGGAGGAAATAAACTCTTATGAGGAGAGCAAAGTGAATAAAATAATAGAAGAATTTCTGCAATCAAGAGACTTTCCAGAAAGTTACTCATTTGGTTGACATTCAGATAAAGTAATAAAGGAACAAATCATTTCAACTTTTAATGTTACCTGTTTATATTAAACCTACTTAAAAATGTAGCTGAATTTCATATAATTGTAAAACTGTTATTTTGATGAGTTAAAGCAATGTAAAAACATAAGTTGCCATGAGTTACTGATCATATAATTGTTTTTACATAAAATGCAAATTCTTTATTTCAGAAACTACTACTACAGTTTTTGATATCAGAAAGTACATCACTAGTAAATAGGGCTGGGTATCGTTCTAAATTTTTTCGATACCAATACCGATAACTTGACTTCGATACCGGTTCCTGAACGATACTTTTTTCAATACCAATTTTATGAAATCAATTTTAACAAGATTACATTATCTAAGAAAAAAACTTTGGTTTTATTTTTCAGCTTGTTGATGTTTATACAAACTCAAAGACTCATCTCCTGAGCCACTGCACAAAGGAACAAAATGTAACCAACAGAATAAATCAGTGCAAAATAGTTTAAATAAAGCTCAAATAGTCTTCAGTTTACACATCTGTTAGCTACATTTACACTAGTTAGTGTTCGTTTTAAAATGCATAGCTCAGACAGAATCATGATTTCTATTTATTTTCCACTGATTAACTGATGAGCATTAGCAGCTTCCAGCGCTGTCTGCTTGTGTTCTCTCTTCCATGATCGCTGCTCTGACTCAGAGGTAATAACATATTTAATTTCAGCAACATTACATGGCCAAAACACACATTAAATGGCAGGTCCGGATTTACCTATTTTCGTGACGTAGAAATAACATTTTTGGGCCCCCTTCCCTTTTAACATAACAGAACTAATATTACCACCCAAGCAAACAAAAATATTTCTTAATCAGTGGAAACCAATACAGTGTTTTCTATCGGCATAAGCGCTTGCGTTCAGTCAATAAAAATTGAATAGTTCTTCATTTGTTTGAGAACTGAGAAAGACCATACTATATAGTCGTGGCCACATAACCACCTCCGGGAGTGCATTATTTCTCTAATAATTTGAACGGCCTGGAGTCCCAACCACACATCAAGACATTGTTCAGATCATTTGTTTCAAGACATTTGACATGTTTCCGTCCTGAAATCTCGTGTGGGTTGAACAAATTTTTTTACGCACCTCATCCCAAACCTTCCGTTGCAAATTCCAAAATGTCATTTTAGAGCTGATAACAGAGGCTTGAGCCATTGATATGCAGGCTTACACAGTTATTAATGCAGTCGAATGTTGTGGTTATTAGAGAGAGGGAGAGAGAGAGATTAAGCGCATCTGTGCGTCTCTCAGCAGCGTTCAGCAGCAGCGTCTACTAATAGCTAATCTTTAAGTTTAACTGCTTCAAGAACCTCGCTACTGAGAAATGTCAAGTAGCTTTTCAGGTGCGAAACTATCTTACTGATAAATTCACGGTGCAGCGCTGACAAGAAGTTTCTGTTCACGTCTCAACGTGTCTGCACTGTGTGTGCGTCTGTGAGAGAGACTGGGAGAAAGAAAGCCTGATTTCCGTAGCCTACATAAAAAAGGTGGAAGACATGGAAATAGTTTGTCATTTTTTACCCTATTGTTTGTTATATTTTTTTGCTCAATGTCTTGAGCAATGCGTAAATCCGGCCCTGTTAGACGGCAATCGGAAGTTATTACAAACACTTGATGGTGGTTTAAAGTGAGTTTTGTGTAAAAGCGGAATATAAATCTTATTTATTGTCTTATGTAGCATGATGCTACAGTTTGCTTGAATGGTCACATAACACGCGCTTTCGGTCGTGTAACGTTAGTATGAATGGACATCTGCATATGATCGGAACTCCGCGCTACTCTATACTGGTGGTATTACAGTACCACGAGAGCTAAAGAGAGCAGACTGCTCCGTGCGCTTTTGAATCGCTCTCGCGGATGATCGATCTGCTCCGCACCTCTTCTAGTCGAACACACCGGCAAGTGCTGCAGGCTTATTGGCTCACTGACGCTGATGAGATTAACCCCTTAGGTATCGAAATTTGGTACCGAACGACAAGACGTTTTTCGATACTCGATGGTATCGAGGCAATTCGGTCGGTGCCTAAAAAGTATCGAACTCGATACCCAGCCCTACTAGTAAAACTGAATTCTTGATAACAAGAATTGTGAAATCACTCTTGGGAATAAATTTTTTGATAAGGGGAAGTCATGGCCTAATGGTTAGAGTGTCGGACTCGTAACCCAAAGGTTGCGAGTTCAAGTCTCAAGTCCGGCAGGAATACCACTCTTCCACCTTCAATACCACGACTGAGGTGCCCTTGAGCAAGGCACCGAACCCCCAACTGCTCCCCGGGCGGCGCAGCATAAATGGCTGCCCACTGCTCCGGGTGTGTGTTCACAGTGTGTGTTCACTACTGTGTGTGTGTGCACTTAGGATGGGTTAAACGCAGAGCACTAATTCCTAGTATGGGTCACCATACTTGGCCACATGTCACGTCACTTTTCACTTTGATATCAGAAAACTGCATCATATAAACAGTCATATATTCCTAGCTAGCTTCATTATTACCTGAAGCTCCTTGATGGCTGATGAAAAAAATCGTAATTGCACAATGTGCAAAATGCAAGATTTAATGTTAAATATTTCTCATAGGTTAGTACTCAGGGTCTGAACTCAGTTTGTGATATTCCTGTTATACAGTATTTTAGAGTAAACAGAAGGATGCAACAATACAGTTAGCCCACAGTTCGGTAAATCACCGAACTGTACCTCATTTTACAGTTCGGTGATACCACAGTTTTCAGTTTGGTTCTGATGGTTTGGCACATCAGAGTTTTTTTGTTGCAATTTTAAAGGCTATTTAACAAAAAATAAAAACTCCAGTACACTTCTGTACACTGTAGAAAAACATGGATTATTGTATGTCTACTTCAAATCTCTTTTGAGAGAAGTACTATTTTTAAGGATTGGCCATTATTTAGTGCTATAAACACATGTAATGTCTTGTTTAATTCATACTGGATGCCTGAGGGCGCCCTCGCGCAAAAAAATCCACATATTCATCACAGAAGAAGTTCAACTCATGCTGCTCCAGGATTAGGGATTTCCTGGAGCATCATGAGTTGTACTTCCATGATACATGTGGATTTTTTGCACGAGTAAAGTAAGTACAGTAAAACTTGTTGCTCGTTTACTACATCACTATGAATGAAAAAAGGCATTATTTGTGTAGTAAAAATGTTTTGCTCGTGATTTATTGATCCGGAAATGTCGAATCTGTGAATATCTTGCCAGCTTTACCGAACTCACTTAGCAAACTCGCTAGAGGAGCACTGAGCATTGTGTTTAACCCATCGACTCTCATCTTCAGGTATTGTGATATGGCAGATCCAACGATTCAGGCTTCATCCTCTGGTCTAAACTCTATCGTGTTGTTGAAAGACTCCAAATTATCAGGTAAGTTCAAGAATTAATGTGGGATGATAGAATAATGTCAGCAAGAGTTTCTGTTAGAAAACTGTATTAAAATTGCTTCAATTAATGACCTGTCCACTGAGCACAGCTGCACAGTACACTGACTGTAAAATGATTGAGATCTGATCAGTATTTGAGATGTGGGAACTTACACAAGTGAAATCTTTTCAGAATCTGAATTTTCTTTGGTCATATCTCTTTATTGGCACATGTGAACATTTATGATGCCCAATTGTAGTCATTTTTACATTTGTTTCCATTCTTGCCATTTACACATTACTTTCCTCTGACCTTTAATTCGTCACACGTGACTTTCAATGGCTGATTTGTAAGCAGATTAATGTCTTTGATTCAATAGCTGCAGTTAACATGAACACTTTATTGTCCGAAGTCAAAACTCATAATAATACTAATAGTGACACTTAAATGTGCCATTTATTAAAAACAAACAAACAATGGTAAACTGTAGCCTTACTACATCTGGTGGACTTGCATTTGCACATGTCAGGTCCATTTTGCTCACATATGCAAGTCAAATACTGTGCACTAGAAACAGCCAGCAATATAAACCACAGATTTCTAAACTTGCTGGCATCTTCAATCAACACCTGTGGTTGAGCCTGGATTTATGTTGGGCCCTTTTCCAAGGAGCACCCATCTCAATGAGTATCGATTAGTAGTGGTGGAGGACTACTGCAGCAAATGGGTAGTGCTGTTTGCCATAAGATCATCAAAAACTTTATTGATCGTGAGCATCTTGATCAAATAAATTTTTACAAGGTGGGGGACTCACTTCTCACTGCTCAGATGCTCAGTAAGACTTGTAAGCAATGGGGTGTGATCCAGAAGCTCACCACCGCGTACCACCCCAAGACGAACATCACTGAGCAAATCAACACTGAATTCTATGATCATTTCTTTTGAGTTCATCCCTGAGTTTCGTTACACTATCAATTCAGCATGGCAAGAAAGTACAGACCACACGCTGGCTGAGGTAGCTCTGGAGCTGAAATTGAAGGGTCCACTGAAGCGCCTGATTCAGAGATCTCCAGATCTGTTATGGAGAATGTGGGCTGAGCTCAAGTTCTTCAGGCCAACTACTATAATCTCCAAAGAAACCCAAGTCAATATCAGCAGGGAGATTTAGTCTGGGTCTCAGACAGGTGATGCGTTCATGGCTAAACTGGCGGCCCAGTGGCAGTGCCCTGCTGAGATCATGCCTCAAATCAGCAAGGTTAATTACAAGGTTAAAATAGTCACTAGATTGTATTGATGGTCACTAATATTCAGGGTTGGGAGGGTTACTTTTAAAATGTATTCTGTTACAGTTACAAATTACTTCATCAAAAAAGTATACAGTAACGTAATCCCAAGTACCACAATTTTAAAGTAATGTAATCCGATTACTTTTGGATTCATTTTAGTCACGTAAATAAACTCAAAAAAGCAATATCTAAGTACTTTTATTTAACTATGACTTTAAAATTAAAACATAAAAACTATAGTAAAAACTATTTGAAACTATTAAAAATCGTGTCTTCACCATCTAGATATTACAGCCCATATATATTTTTATATAAAAGGTTAAGCTGACATCTAGTGGCTATACAGTTTAGTAGCCTATTACAGTTTTATTTTTATATATTTTTTATTTCTTTAACATGTAGACTACAAGTAAAAGTAGTAATAGTTTATACACAACATTAAAATTTACACCATATACATATTAGCCTATTTTAAAATAAGCCTACATGTCGAAATGCATGTGAAATGCTATGATCTTTATTTCATTAATGTAATGTGGGGTTTGGTGTGTTTTGTTTCATGTTCATGTTTTCCATGTCTTTTATTTTGTAATTGTTTCACCCTGTAAGTGTCATGCTTCCCTTGCCATCATGTATCTCTGCCTTGTGTATGTATCATGTTCTGATTGGTAGTCTTAGTCATGTGTTTTGTTTCCCATTGGTTTGTTCTTGTCATGTGACCCTCATTGTCTGATATAAGTAGCCATCATGTTCCCATAGTCTTCGTCGTGTATTGAAGTTGTAACCCGCTGTTGGTGAGTCTAGTCTGTTTATGCCTCGTCAAGCCTGTTCATGTCATGTCATGTCATGTCATGTCATGTCATGTCATGTCATGTCATGTCATGTCATGTCATGTCATGTCATGTCATGTCAAGTTTGGATTATTGTTTGGATCACCTTGTGAATAAAACTGCCTTCAGTGTACTGATTCGTTACACCAACCAATATCTCACACTATCTCTTTTGGATTATTGTTTGGATCACCTTGTAAATAAAACTGCCTTCAGTGTACTGATTCGTTACACCAACCAATATCTCACACTATCTCTTTGTTCTATCTCACACAATACACTACAAGGTCAGGTGACTGACCCATTTAAGAGTCATTTAATTTCTTTGCCTTAAGAAGCCCTTGGGTTGCTTTTGCGGTATGGGTCATTATACATCTGTACAGTACTATGAAGTGCTGTCCTATCAGTTTTGCAGCATTTGACTGAATTTGAGAACAGTGTTGGGCAAGTTACTCTGAAAATGTAATCAAATTACTGATAACTCCTTTTAAAAGTAATCACATTAATGTTCTGATTACTTTATTTCAAAAGTAATTAGTTAAGAAATTTATGAAATCCCAGCATAAACGCTCCCAATAAATATTTATTAAAACATCAACATTCAGAACACTGTTATTTTTAACTAAAGCAAGCGGCTGCTGCGTGCATGGTTTGGCATGGCAGAATGCCAGCAAAGAGCACTGCATTTATAATCTCTAAAAGACATCTCAGTTCATCGCAATCTCACAAATCTCTGTTATAACACAATAAATATATGCATAATGAATCTTTCATAATGTCTACAATTCGTGTGTTATGAGAGGATTCGTGAGCACGCAAATTTCAGCACTGAAAACAAATCCTAAAAAAATTTTAGGTACTCAAAATGTTCAGCGTTGCTCAACGCTGCAAACACGTGTTGTAGCCTAAATAGAAACTCTGCATACGCTTGCACCTGTTAATTATTTATATTTTATATTAGTTCATGTTGCTTTTGTGCAATAGATGAATAACAATTTATTTGTTTTAGATATTTTATGTTTAGATATTTCTATTTCGCGGAGTCCCGTGAATCATTTTATTCTCCCGCATCCCCCACACACACGAGTGTCTACCTGCTCGCACCAGCACTCGCACATCTTGTCCAGCGCTGCACTCTGTTGCGTCGGGTCTCCTGGGAGCAGGTTTGTAATCCACTGGCACTTGACTCGACAGTGCGTGTGCTACATCCTTTTTACAATCTCTAGATTATAAAACTGCATTCTGTCAGCAATGTAACACGGCAGAAACGTATAGTGACCTCAACTTGTAACTATACTCTAATTCAGGGCTCGACAGTGCAACCATTTCAGTCGCATTTGCGACTGAAAACTACTGTGTGCGACTATGAAATTTTTTTAGGAGCACCAGTCAGCATCATACTTGTGATTGTGCTCGCTCAGGGGAGCTTCAAAGGTTTCTACATGTTTTTGCAGCGTTGAGTAATGTATCACAGACATATCTCACGAATCCTTTCATAAGCAAAGTGTAGACAGGGTGTAAATAAGAGATTAATTGTGCAGTGCAGAGAGCTTCGTTGATTCTAAATGTGAGCTCGCGATGAACGTGCTGAATGAACGTTTTTTTTATTAACGAATCTAGTCAGTGATTCATGATTACCCTTTCATAAAGACAGTCACTTGATTCATTCTTGAATGAATCAGCGGTTCGAATGAATCAATTGAATGAATGATTCAGTGATAAAAATCAGTGGCTTACCGCCACCTGCTGGCAGTTTTAGTTTAATTTTTAAAGTATCTTTTCACTTATTTCAATCATTTAATATTTCTATATTCAAAATTTTATATTTAAAACATTAATATCATCATGGATTTATGGATTTAATTGCACTCATTCCACTTCTGAACCTCATTAAATGTCTGAAAGTACATCAAGCAACTTTTGTGTTCTTCTGTGCCACCTCTACAAATTAATTTAGTTAATACTGATTTCATTTGATTTTTAACTTATGTTTCTTATTCTACTCTTATTCTGTCGTTTTAATTACAATTTTTAAAAAGCTTATAAAATATAATTTTTTAAAGAATTTGACAAAAGATGACATACTTTTAATAAAGTTAAAGTCAAATATCACCTCGTAATGGGAAGGCTACTTTTTGAAAACATTTTGGATTATTGATTAGAAGTGCTCCTAAAAAGAAAAGTAAGCGTCGAGCCTTGCTCTAATTACTATTTTGAAAATGATGACGCATTAAAGTACTCCGTTACTAAAAAAGTAATTAAATTACAGTAACGTGTTACAAAGTAATGTGTTACTGCCCAACACTGTTTGAGAATAAAGCATAGCTCTATACACTTCACAATTCATCTTGCTACTTCTATCAGCAGTCACATCATCAATAAACACCAGTGACCCAGTTCCATTAGCAGCCATACACACCCATGCCCAGGGCTGCTGCTGGCCAAATGGGTGCCCTAAGCAGAATTGTATTGTTGTGCCCCTCCCCCAAATATTATGAATGTAAAAAAAAAAAAAAAACCTATTGGGGTCAAAACAGAACTTTAATAAAATATACAAGTAAACAAATAAATAAATTGTATTTATATTGTATTATTTACAAATTACAAATGTAGCACTACCTATGGCTATTATTTTATTAATACAGTTGTCTAATTGATTATAATCTCAAGCATTCAGAAATAACGCAAAAGAAAACTAAGCAGTTTTACTACGATAAAAACATGGCAAATTTTTTTGTAAGGGTTGTGATGTCCACATGTTTTTGTTAAAGAAATTATTGAGGCAGTCGCATTTCTGTTGCAACAAGGTGGCTAAAGATTAAGTGGATATTTGAATTAAATGTTTGGTCAATATTAAAGGACTTGATCATCCTGTAAGTGTAACAGCAGCAGTTACCAGGCCTTTGGCTCCCTTTGCAAGCATTTGTAATAATATGTAATGTACATAAATTGTTTACTTTGTATTACATTATGTATTTTAACTGTCACAGGGTCTGGTTGTGGTGCCCTGGACTGGCCACTTGAGGGCGCTCTTCCTGTTTCTTTGTTACATGTTTTGAGCTCTGTTTCCCTTAGTCCTTTGCCTTGTCGTTCTGTTCTGATCATGATCACCTGTTAGTAATTTACTCATCATCCCTTCACTATTTATACCATGCTCACTCTGTCTGTCTTTGCTGCAGTATTGTTTGAGGTTACATCGTGTTTTCTGTTCCCTGTGTTTTGGATTACCTTTTGTCTAGTTTATGTTCTGTTCTGATTATTTGTTACTTTAATAAACTACTGCAATTGGATCTACCTTGTTTTCTCCTGGCATTCCGTGACGGAATACTGCAGCCAGTACAAGATCCAGCAGTTTGTTTTGCTTTTGCCTTTCGGTTGGACAATGGACATTCGGATTACCCCTCCTACCACAGGGAAGGAGCGAGTGGCTCGACACCAGGCTCTGATGGCTCTGAGGCAGCAGGGAATGGAGGGTTGTGGTTTTGCCCAGACCTTTTGGACGTTGGCAATGGGGCTGAATTATAATGAGGATGAACTTAAGGACCTCCTTAAAGTCTGTCTGGATGATCCTGTGCCCCAGTGGGAGATGGAGATGGACTCATGATCCTAGACTTCTGGGGCTTCATCAAGTATCTCCATGGTCGAAGTCAGTGGGCAATACCGGGCCAGTTAGATCCCTTCAGCAGGGATTTTCCCACCACCTCTACCCTTCAGACTCCCACTAAGCGGCGGAGGGTGAGAATGTATTTTAACTGTCACAGGGTCTGGTTGTGGTGCCCTGGACTGGCCACTTGAGGGCGCTCTTCCTGTTTCTTTGTTACATGTTTTGAGCTCTGTTTCCCTTAGTCCTTTGCCTTGTCGTTCTGTTCTGATCATGATCACCTGTTAGTAATTTACTCATCATCCCTTCACTATTTATACCATGCTCACTCTGTCTGTCTTTGCTGCAGTATTGTTTGAGGTTACATCGTGTTTTCTGTTCCCTGTGTTTTGGATTACCTTTTGTCTAGTTTATGTTCTGTTCTGATTATTTGTTACTTTAATAAACTACTGCAATTGGATCTACCTTGTTTTCTCCTGGCATTCCGTGACGGAATACTGCAGCCAGTACAAGATCCAGCAGTTTGTTTTGCTTTTGCCTTTCGGTTGGACAATGGACATTCGGATTACCCCTCCTACCACAGGGAAGGAGCGAGTGGCTCGACACCAGGCTCTGATGGCTCTGAGGCAGCAGGGAATGGAGGTTTGTGGTTTTGCCCAGACCTTTTGGACGTTGGCAATGGGGCTGAATTATAATGAGGATGAACTTAAGGACCTCCTTAAAGTCTGTCTGGATGATCCTGTGCCCCAGTGGGAGATGGAGATGGACTCATGATCCTAGACTTCTGGGGCTTCATCAAGTATCTCCATGGTCGAAGTCAGTGGGCAATACCGGGCCAGTTAGATCCCTTCAGCAGGGATTTTCCCACCACCTCTACCCTTCAGACTCCCACTAAGCGGCGGAGGGTGAGAAGGAGGTCAGTAGAGCTCACTCCAGAGCCCACTCCAGTCCGGGAGCTCACAGAGTCCACTCCAGAGCCCGCTCCAATCCGGGAGCTCACATCTGGAACATTTATCCATTATCTTCCGCCCATTCTATCTGCCCCGGGAGTTTTCATCAATCATCATTACTGCTGTTTACATTCCACCACAGGCAGAGACCAGCTTGGCTTTGTCTATGCTTCACGATGATGCTCAGCGGTTACATTAACAAACATCCTGACGCTGCTTTTATCATCGCGGGGGACTTTAACAAAGCCAACCTCAGGCAGGTCATGCCGAACTTTTATCAACATATATCCTGTCCAACCAGAGGTCCGAATACACCGGATCATTGCTACTCCCAGTTTAAGAATGCCTACAAAGCTCGCTCACTACCGGCTTTTGGCAAATCGGACCATGCCGCCATTTTCCTCACACCGGAATATAAACAAAGGCTCGTTCAAGAACCCACGGTGCAGAGAGTAGTGACGCGCTGGTCCTCCCACTCAGAAGCTATGCTACAGGTGGCTCTTGATGACGTCGACTGGGACATGTTCCGAGTTCATTTGACGTTAGCGAGTTCACGGATGTAGCATTAAGCTTTGTAAACATGCTAACTGAAGAAGCAACAGATACAAAAACTGTAAGGACCTTCTCAAATCAAAAACCGTGGGTGGACAGAACAATCCGTGCCGCAATAAACAAACGCACTGCTGCATACAACGCCAGTCTCTTGTCGGGGAACATGAGTGAGTACAAAGCATCGTGCTATGATCTCCGACGGGCGGTAAGAGATACAGGGAACGAATAGAGTCTCATTTTCAGCTCAATGACTCTCAACGCATGTGGCAGGGATTGAGAAACATCTGTGCCTTTGGAAATAAATCCTCTGCAGCTGTGAGAGCAGACCCGTCGCTGGCTAACGAGTTAAACTCTTTCTACAGACGCTTTGAGGCAGCGCGACTCTGCCGATCAGCACGTCAGGAAGCTGCAGACAGAGCAGTGATAATCATGTAATCACTGTGTCGGAGGACGAGATTCGGAGGACCCTAAAGCGAGTGGATGTCAGGAAAGCAGCAGGTCCTGATGGGATTTCTGTCCGTGTTCTGAGGTCCTGTGCTGATCAGCTCGCTGGTTTGTTTACATCCATCTTTAATGAGTCCCTTGCTACCTCCGTGGTTCCCAACCCCTTTAAAAATCTGTCATCATCCCTGTGCCTAAGAACAATAACCCCTCTTGCCTGAATGACTATCGTCCAGTTGCCCTCACGTCAATAGTCATGAAGATCTTTGAGAAACTTATAAAGAACAACATTTGCTCCTCCATCCCTGATACTTTGGACCCTCTTCAGTTTGCCTACCGCCCCAACAGATCTGCTAAAGATGCCATCTCTCACATCCTGCACTCTTCCCTCATGCACATTGACAGCAGCAATGGGAACTATGTAAGGCTGCTATTCATTGACTATAGCTCAGCTTTCAATACTATAGTCCCCATCAAGCTAGCTTCTAAACTCTTGGACCTTGGCCTGAATTCTTCACTCTGCAACTGGATTCTAGATTTCCTCACTGGCAGACCTCAAGTGGTGAAAGTAGGCCAGTTCACCTCCAACTCCATCACCCTGAACGTGGGAGCTCCACAGGGCTGTGTCCTGAGTCCTCTGCTCTACTCTCTCTACACACATGACTGCGTGTCTTCCCACAGC